GATAATCTTTTCACCATGAAGCCATTTTCGTTGACAACCTGCATTCGCCAGATCTGGATCATGTCCGGATGGCTGCGCCAGGAGGCGGCGTTGCAGCCTCCATGTTGGTGTTGCAACGCCACCAGCGGAGCAGAAGGAGGAGGCCGCCCTGAAGGACCAAAAGCGGGCTGCAGCCGAAGGTGAAGAGGTGGGCCAGGTGGGTGTCGACGCCCAGGGAAGACTTCGCCGAGTGCGAATTCTCGACGATTACATCATGCCTTTTGAGTGCAGCATCTAATTCTACATTACAAAAATTGCCTTGTGCTTGAGTTTCTGATTCCCGTTGTCCTCGCGGCTTGAAGGTGGATCGAAGTCAATTCGACCACCGAAACAGCCTCCAAATTTTGGTCCGCACGGAAAAAGAAACTGAACCTAGAACTACAATCGGAAGGATATCGGAATCTTTATTCATATTACAGTTAAATCAAATAAGCTATGAAAAAATTTAAGAATATTGGAATCTATTTATAGTTTAGTTTAATCATATGATTTGTTAGAAGGAAAGCATGAAAAAATATTAGACATGAGAAAAAAATTTATAATTTGTGATGTTAGTATTAAAAAACTTGTTGTGCATCTCTGAATATATATCGATTCTAAGGGCAAGTCATGGATGATTTAAAGTTTCTGACTAAAAACAGCGACTAAAAATCAGCATCACATCCTGATTTCCTGTACTTATGTTGAAGCTTTAGTTTATTCCTTTACATCCTGAAATTTATTCCTTTATACACCCCTAAAAGCGCAGCTTGACTTGCCCCAAACTCCCATCAGTCACCGTGAAACCGAACTAATTTGACAGCCAACTAGCGCCGGACACAGCATTCATATGCCCAAAGTGGGTATCCCATTCCCTCCAGCTCACTTGTCAGTCTCCGGCGCAGTCTAACTTCCATTTCTTTGGGCCGAAATAAAACCACACACACCCAAAACAAAAAAAGTATCCCACAAACCAGAGCCCTGAGGAGGCCTGGCAAAAATATAATTTATGAGCTAACCGAAAAAAGGAGCAGAACAGGCCATTTGATGTATACATTTCGAGCGTTGTGGAGACACAAAAATGATTTTGATGGACACTTAACAAAACGACACCAACTGCTGGCCAGGATCCAGACTTTGGGAAGGTTTCAGGTGGGGCCAGCAGTCCGGTGAAACCGAAGATCGGTTCTTCTTCGAGCTGCAAGAGGCTGGACACAAAAAAAAAACACATGCCCAGAAAGAAAAACGACATATTTCATATTTTATTTATTATTTAGAAAGGGTATGCTGCATAAATCAAAAGCGAAATGAGTACGACATAACAACACCAAAAAGCTGAGACCAGACCCAGATGGAGCAGGAGCTGGGGATGGAGCTGGGGATGGGATGGAGATCGTGGATGTGGGGGAGAGTGGCAGAGTGGCAGACGCAATCGCAGTCATCGATGTTGTCCAATGCAGCCAACCAAACAACCAAACTGCCAAACAACCGGCCAACCAGCATACGAAATAAAATCAAAATAAAAGCAAACTCAAACTCAAGCCGAAACTGAAACTGAAACGCGAAAAGTTCCCACATGTTCACAATTTTGTACACATTACGTTTATGGGCTTTGGGCGAATCGAGGTGCAGGAGTTAAAAAAAAAGAAAAGGAATAAAAACTACAAACAAAAACAATCAACGAAAACCCACAGATTTGCAAGTAAGGCATAAAATATCATTCATTCAGCATTCAACATAATGCGATTTCAGATGCTGGCCCAGCGATTTTATCGCCAAATATGCTGGGTATATGGAATATGCAATTTAAGCATATGGATAATTCACATTTAATATTTTTAATTCGAATATTTAAGCATATAAATTCAAGATTAGATCAGTAGTCTCCTGTATTATATTATAGTAAATTATATTATAAATTATATTATTTTATTTTATTGTAATACATAGTTAGCATGGATACCTTTTCATCTATAGGTATTTACATATATGTAGGTAAAGGTATACACATATGTAAAAGGTACAAGTACAAGGTTTCGTAACTGTTAGAAAAGACCTTATAAAGGATAGTACTTTCGATCATCCGAGTCGATTTAGCCATGTCCAACAGATCTCAAAGACTACAAAATCTAGATATACCAATTTCGGGACAACATTTTAATCTCTTGTACACAATTCCGCTTTGTTTCTTCCCCTTAACCATCAAAAAACTATTATAATCCATGGCCATGAATCCGTGAAATAAAAACAATATATATAATTTTAAATAAAGTGGGAAAAACATTACATTGTTTATTTTTATATTATAGTTCATCTACATATTATAGTATATCTATCTCGCTCGGACTCCTCTTATATGTTTAGTGGAGTCTCGAACCATATACTTTAACTTGATAAAACTGAAATTATCCTTTCTTATCTAGTATTTTAGTGTCTGGGAAAGGTGTGAGCTAAAGGCCATTTACCACTATATAATGAATTTCTCTTTTAACATAATATATTGTAGTTTAAAATATTGAAACTCCTGCCATCTTAGCTATTTCGTTTTCGATTTTATTCATTCTCAGTCTTACTTTTTTCTTACAGTCCAACCGAGTGACATGAGAGGGTAACCAGAACAACAGACAACAGTCAAATGCTGTGTGTTTGGTATTTTTGCGTCACGCGTTGTTCCACCTTGTCTCTTGTTGTTGTTGCTGCTGTTTTTCGGGGGGTGGACAGGGGGCCAGGGGGTGGGGTGAATCGATTCGCGGATTGCGCCTCCGCACACGCCTGAATGCGAAATGCCGGACCTTTTCAGGGCCAAAGGAGCGCGGGGCCATATCGGCGAAATGATCGCAATCTCAACACAAAATTTGTGTTTGGCGCAGACATTTTTTTACTGTGCCGAGGGACCCGCGAAGATAACCGAAAGATGATGAAGATGAAGCAGCAGCAAATCTGCAAAAAGCCCGGAGAATGTATGCCCCCACCGACACCCGCGCCTGTCTGGACAGCAGTCTGGGACACTCGAAGAAATTTTATTATTTGTAATTATTTGCAAAAGTCTTGTCAACATGATCAGGGGTGCATTAGAAAACGATAAATCTAACTATATAATTATGTTTTTCTTATAGTAATTCGGTTTCTGTTAAGCTTTTCCGACATTGTAAACCGAATTACACTGTCTATGGGTTTCTCCGCTTATTAACATTTCCAATTAAATCGAATAAATATTAAATCACAATTAAGCTAATTAGAAAACCTTTAAATAAAGTATTTTTTACTGTGTAGTCGCGGAGTTTTCAGGTCCCTGGGCCAACGTCGTGTTGTCATAATGAATGGTGCAGCTTAAGTCATTTCGTTTTGGAGCTGGACTCGAGGCTGCTGCGTTTTTTATAGTGCTGCTGGCGCCATGAAATATTAAATTACGAGCTGCTGTTTGCTGCGGTAACCCCTCGTCTCTTTGCCCCTCGCCTGGTCCTCATTAGGCGCAGAGACATTCCACATACGCCGTGTGGGCTCTGGCTTCGTTTGCGACTGAAATTAATAACTAAAACGTTGCAGCCCATAAAAAAGGACAGGCGAAATCGATCCAAGAATCGTCCAAATTGAAATTCCAACTTGCAGAATTAATAAGTTAATTTCTGCAAACGCCCCTCGATGCCCAATCCATCTGTTGATATGGAAATGTTTTGCATAATTACACCCAAGGCTGCAGCTCCTTCCTTCCCGTTTATGTTGTTTCATTTATGGCTTTGGCTAATTTGCCAGGTATTCGGGAGAGGCGATGTGCGGCTCAGATGGGATTTTATGATTTTATGATGCTGCCTGCCATTAAAAAGGTTAAAGTTGAGGCTCAGTCGCTTAATGACTATCCTGGGGCCACTGGGGCGTATGGGACCATGCCACTTGGGGCTCATGTTAATTTTTCGGACATTTATGGCAATGGGTTGACACATGTTGGCAGGTCTCTTTATGAAGGTTAATGGGGTGAAGAGTTTATAGGACATCTTATTAGGATTGTGGGATTAGATTGTGTTGGGGTTTTCTCACTTAAGTAGTTTCAACGAGCAGTAATTTGCTTGTAAATGCAATTATTTCTCTGGATTCAGATTCTACTACCCCTTTCTCTCAGGATTTTCAGTTTAGTTAACTTTTATTGGCCATCCATCATGGTTTCTTTTCAATTCATAAATCTGCTTCCCATTAGATGCAATTTATTATGGGACTGACTTCACTGATCTGGGAGTAGTATCGATTGCCTTTCGCCGCCTGCAATTGCAACAATTTTGACTGGAACTTTGACTCGCATGGCCAGTAAATTTGGTTGAAATCAAATAACGATAAAAAATCACACGAATATTAATTCGCGGAACGGCAAAGACCTTCAGTCGAGAGCCAAAGGCAGACCTAAACTGTTCCTGAAATTTATAGTCGCGGTCTAGGAGAGGAGGCCGCAATCGCCGAGTCCCAGTTTTGGTTCCAGTTCGAGCTGGAGCTGGAGCTGGAGATCCTCCTTGCCATTCCACAGCTGGTCGTGTGAGAATGTTTGGGGCACATGTGCCCCAGTCCTCATCCCAGTCTTCATCCTTGTCCTGATCTCGAGCTCAACCCCGGGTTCAGCTGCAGAATGGCCAGGCTGGCGAAGATACATTTAAAAGAATCCGATTCAACTACTGGCCAAGTCCGAAGATCGACTCTAATGCCAACACCAAGTTGGAGTCTTTGTTTCTGCTCCCTCCGCTTTTATGCGATCCGCTTCCATGGAAGTGGAAGCTTAAGCCCGACGATGAAAATATTTATATATATAAGTATTTGAGCACAGACTTATCGCCGAACAAGATCAATAAGCACGATATCAATAAGCTGTGGCGTTGTTCCAGGCGGAGTAACAACAGCAACCATGCTGAACGTAGATCTGGCCGAGTGGGGTTAGGGAAGAAGCCGGTAACCCTCGCTCATATTGCATTTATGTTTAAGTAGAATATATACTGAAACCCTTGAGGTAATATCAAAGTGTTTTTATTGTTATGCGAACATGTTATCAAATTTATCATTGGCAAGTTTGGCTTCCCTAAGCGATTTGAGAAGCACCTTAGCTGTATCTAGGCATATCTTCCGGTTTGAAGGCTGCATGCGCCTCAACAAGTTACCGTTTTTTGTCAAGAAGAACTCGAGTTTGCCGTTGTCAAGGTGTTCCACCAAGTGACTCCACATCTCCACTAATAGTTCGCCCAAGTCCCTGCCCCAGTCGACAGTCGCCGCCCGATGCAAAAGGACAGTTTTCATCATGTAGCTAGAAAGTTCGGGCAATTGTGTTCTGTTTGCGTCTCGTAATCCCTTCATGAGGCGAAGAACATCCTTCAGCTTATGGTTGTCCTTAATCAAAGCGTTCTCCCACAGCGGGGCAGAGACTATGAATGACGTACCGTCCTCATATATATCAAACATATCGATTGCAAGCCAGGGATACGCATTGCGCACATTTTGAGGAACGGGTGGATCGGTGAATGGCCACTGGGAACCCGTAAACTCATAAGTCGAAAACAGGTCAATCGATAAGTTGCGTTTGTTTGATACAGCCTTGATTTTGTGGGCACATAAGAATGTTCCTGGCCGATAGCTTAAGGTATACTCTTTACCGCCCACTCTTAATATCATATCTGAAGGAAACACTTTCTTCAAGACACTGTGCAGCCAGTACTGAAGTGCTGCCCTTTGGAGGTCTTCCTTCTTTGATATATATTTATATTCCGCACACAGTGAGACATATCCGGAATCCTTTGCTATAGGAGTGACTTTAAAAGGAAATTTTAGTTTCATATGCAGATCAAATTGATCGGGAAGATCCAGCTTGACTTGATCCAAGTAACTCCCTAAAAAAGTAAGTAAAAATATTTTTTTTTATGGTGCATTTAAATATAAACAATGTTTAACACGACAATATTTAATGGGAATGGCCTTTGATTATAATTAGCACTAAACTACATTTATGAGAAATGTTAAATAGTTAATCTGGTTACTACTGGACACTACTGCATTATTAAACCAGTAGTATCATAATTCCAAAAGCTTACCGCAAAGGTTAAAACTGTCGAAGAGATCGTTAAAAGTAGAGTCCTTTTTCTTTAGTTCTTGAACCACATGATCTATTAAGGCCTCTGCATCATCGGTGTACACTTTGTGATCATTGCTAGATATTTGCAAGTTGATCAATTTTTGTTTTAAATATTCCGTAAAGCTCATAATTATTGTGGCTTTTCAATTAGTTAGGTTCAATAATTTCAACTATTCACGTCAAGCTCCTGAAGTCGAGTAAGAAAGTCAGCTCTCTCCCCCTATATATTTTACGATTTGTTATCGCTCTGATAAGGTATTGTACGTAAAGTTTGTTAAGACTATATGCTAAAGAAATGATTTCTTATTTTAACTTGAAATAAAAATTTCTAGAATATTATCCTATATAATTTTAGTCTGTCACTAGGGAATATTTGCCCCGTTTTCTGAATTTCATTTAAATGTAAAAGAGTTGCTACCAGGTATCGCACAGCCCAGCACACTCAACTCGAGTAATCTGTTCTCTAGGATTAGGTTGCATTGATATCGCCTGGTAAACGTAAGATAAGTCTATACTATTGCAAGAAAGAAATAGTTTTTATTCAGTCTAATCAAAGAATTGAGCTTTTTAGCAATCAATGAAAGACAGCTTACACTATTCGTCATCGAATTCTTCTTATCAGTAAATTCTACTTAGTCACTTTAGGAAAAGACAAAGAATATAGTGAATGTAATACAGGTTCCATTTGAATTTACACCAAACCAACCGACCAACCGACTAATCGGCAAACAATTTCGGAGCATAACAAACGCCCAAGAGTCTGACAAAATTTGTCTCGCCTGTCAATATCATAAGGTAGACCGGATTTTTTATTATTCCTATTTTTGCTATATTTATTTTTGTTGCTCAAGAAATCCGCGGAGCGGAGGAAGGCATGGAAATATGCCAGGAAAGACACCCAACCATTACCGCAGGGAGATGATGAGGCATGGATGGGACCCGGTTGACTGGATTTGCTTGGATTGGTTCGGTTTCGGTTCAGCCAGAGCCAGTATCTGTGTTTGTTTACCTTTGTGGCATTTGCATATTTTGAATGTTCGCGGAGCGACTCGTGGCACGTTTTACAGAAAACGGCGGGGAGAGACGAAAGACTTTATCGATGATTGTGTGGGCGAGTCATGCGACGACCTTTCCATAGTTCTGCATGTCTTTTGTTGTCGTTCTGCGGCCGTTGTTGTCAAACAATTGTCACAACGTGTCGGCATTCACACGAACTTTATGTTTTATCCAACACCTCAGCGCAAATCTCTCAGGGGTTAAAGTTTGTCTAAAGTTTCCTGGCTTTCCGCGGATTTCTGGGGACCAGATCCGAAGATTTCAGGGGATCGGGGACCGTCGATGGCCGATCCGTGATCACTCAGTGATCCATTGCCCTACCGCATCGCACTCGTTCATCAATAACCGTCTGCGGCGGTGTTCCATCAAAAGTTGCCTGCGATCGCACAAAAACCAACACTCCGGGTGAAGGGTCCTTCAGTTCAGTTCCCGGCTAATAACGAGCGGAACCTCAGCGGTTCCATTGTTCTGGCCTCCTCCCAAATATGTATTCATTATATTTATGGCACAATTTTGCTTTCAAAACGGAGGAACAAAAAGAACCACTTGTGCCCTGGGCCCCGGCTGACAAGCGAAATATCTTTTTTCTCGCGATCGATCGATGGATTGGCTCCTTCGCTGAATAGATCACTCGGCCGTAATGAATTATTGATGGACCTGGGACCCGGTCGACACAGGGTAGGGAAAATCACACATAAAAACGCAGGGATGAAATGTAACCAGAGCTTTGACTTAATGTGGCAGCTCAACCAGATCGATGTGTCCACACAACCGAATCGGTCGAACTGCTCAAGTTTTGTGACTTTGTCAAGTCCTCCATGCTCCTCCGCCTCCTTCTGCTGATCATTTGTGATATATTGTTTCGGTAGCAGTTTGTTAAACGTGATCAATTTTTAATTACCCATCATCATCATCATCCATCCGAAGACATCCATCGGCCGGTGATTGCTCGATTGTCGTATCAATCGCACCGCACAGAATGTAACTCGGACGTTTGTCGCATGTCATTCAACGATTTATGCCCCGAGTGGCTTTAATAAATGTGTCTTTGCCGCTTTTGGCCCAGCATATCTCAGTTCCAGCTCGAGCTTCAACTCCTGGTTCAGCTTCAGCTCTTCCCTTCCCCTTTGTGCTCTGATTGAGGCGACTTTGTCACTGGTGATGTGGCGCCGTTGTCTGCTCCATCAACTCCCCTGACTGCTCACTCCTGCGTCGGGGTCCACATTTGGAGCGTGTGTGCGCAAAATGCTTAATTAGTTTTTGTCTAATTAACACTTGGAACATGGCGAAAGCGACTGGAGTCGTGTGCCACCAAAGGCGTGAAGATCAAAAGGTAAACAAGCGTCCAAGGATCGAGAAACTATAAAAAGGAAAGTTGAGTCTGGCGAACTACTTTGGGCTATAGAGATAATATTTGTTGTACATTTCCTTTAATTTTTGAGCAATTGGGCTTGTAGTGAAAACTAAGTTGTAATTAATAATGTTAATTATTATATTTCATTTATATATATTTCAAAATAAATGTAGAAGGTCAGTTAAATTAGTTAATTTGGTAACTAAGCAAGACATTTATGTGTCAGATTAAGGGTTTTTGTATCCTATTTATCCTTGATATTAATAAAGTTTAAATGAAACAAACTGTTAAGGAAATAAATCCACAAAATAATAATAATATTTCAGAAGTTGTGCAAATTAGTTTCAATCTTTAAATAACAAGTTTGAAAATAAATTACATTAACACAGTTTTGTCAAAAATCAAAAAGGATTCTATAACAATATGATAACAAATATCCTATGTATTGGAGAATTTCAAAGTATTAATTGAGGCTTAAGACATAGGTTTATATAACTTTTTGAGTTAATATACTATTCAAAACATGCCTCATTTATGTATTTAAGGTACAACAAAATATGAAATGATTCCAGTAGAATTTCGGCCATTCTATCTTGGCCCGACTTGGTCCAAGTCCTTACCTCGCCTGGACGAACAACATAATTTTCTGTGTCCGCACACGCCCACTTTGCCACCAGGCTTCCACGGAGACCAAGGTCCGAGGGTTCGAAGGTTCCCGGGCTCCAAGCTCAAGCCCTTAGGCTCCAGGCGCAGAAATTAAGGTGAACGCCCACAGCACGCGCCGGCGGAATAAGTGGGGATAGAAGGCGAGACTCCGAGAACGGAGAATGGAGAACTGGGAGCTGGGAACCGAGAGTGGAGCACCGAGAACACGAGCAGCCAAGCTGGCTGCCAAAACTCCAGTGGAAATATTTGCCACTTGAGTTTCGGTGGCTCCCCGTTCTCTCCCCTTTTGTCTGGTCACCACTTGAAGTTCTTGGCGCGCGCGTTTATTTATTTTGGAACGGGGGCGCAGAGCAACAAATTAAAAAGTAATTCTCGGGCGCAGCATAATTAGCTGCTAAGTGACACTAATGGGGCCGCAGTTGCACTGCCCAAGAATCCGCCTGCCTCCCGACAGCCCCGAGCTGGCTGCACTTTTCCACTTTTTCTTCGGCGGCTCGTGTGTGGGCAATGTGAGGTTCTCGAGCTGCTGAGTGAGTTTTCGTTGGTTTAGCTAATTGAGTTCTGTTTTTTGGGCCAACAGTCCACATGGCCACTTGGCTCCCTTGTGGCTGCCAAGTTTGGTTGGTCCCGTAATTGATGGGCCCGCTGAAAGCAA